CAATCGACTCTCTTTTATTGGCTCGTTGGCTGTATCTGCCAGCAAGCTGTTAATACAGTGGTTAGACGTGTTGAATATTGAGAAAAAGTGAAGAAGTCAGCAAAAAGCCGAGTGAAGCCATTATTGGGCTCTTGGGTTGCTTGTGAGCCTCTAGATGGCATTGTCTCTCTCTCTCTCTATCTATCTCTCTCTCTCTATTTACAGTTTTTTTTTTGGATAGTTGTTGATCTTTTGTTATTGTTGTTGTTGATGAATATTGTTGGTGATGATGAAACAGATCTGTAATACCATTAAACAGATCTTCAATGTCTATTTATTTATTTATTTATTTATTTGTAATTATTGATAAAAATGATGATGAAATAAATTGTAATAGATAAGGAGAGAGATAGAGAAAGTCAGAGAGATTTTAACAGATAAAGAAAAATTGAACAAGTAGGGTTTGAATTGGCTTGGTATTGCAACAGATAGGGTGGTTGTAGTTGTGGTTGTGGTTGTGGTTGTGGTTGTGGTTGTGTTATTGTTATTGATGATGATGATGATGATGATGATGATGATGATGATGATGATGACTATGACTATGATGATCAAAATCAAAGAGATAATTTTTTATTTTCGTTTTATTTTTGTGTTGAACAGATAAGGATGAGAGAAACAGATAATAATAAAATATATTAAAATTTTGAACAGATAAAAAAGTTAAATAGATTAAAAAAAATTGAACAAATAAAAAATTGAACAAATAAGTGAAAAAATTAAATAGATAATAAAATTTGGACGTATATTTGAATAGATAAGTGGAAAAATTTTGAACAAATAGAAAAATTTTGAACAGATATTCAACATAAGTCAATAGATAAAAACAGTCAACAAATAAATTAATAGGTAAAATTAAAAACAAAATGTCATTCAAAACTAACAAAATGACATCTCACCAAACTATTTCACAAATAATAAACCTTTCACCAATAAAAAATATCTACAAAACTTAATACTTTATACTCTTCTTAAAGGGAGATTTACCAATAAATCCTATAAGTTATACTTGTAGATCAATTAGTCCCATTTGTTTTCTAATGTTCTGTTTGGTCCTTTTATTTTTTAAATGACATATTTGCCATTTTTTTGAACGTTTTTTGTATGGGTTGGGTTGGGTTGTTTATGTTTTGAGAACCGCTCGTGTGCCACACATGACTTATGTATTAGGGGTGTACTGGACGTATGTTATGTTTGGGTTGGGTTAGGCACGTGGCACATTGTGGGTGTCATAGATAGGGGGAGCGCACTAAGGGGTTTTTTGTGTTTATTGCGTAAGCAGGGCACTTGTTACGTGGCACACAGCCCACTCGAAAAAATTTGTTTGCATCACACTTGCAACCCACACCCACGACCCAAATCCCTTTTTTAAGGGGAGGTTTTCAAATTTGTGTGAAACCCTAAATCACATAATTGGAAAAAATTTGAAATGTGATTCTGTGCATAATTTGGGGGAAATGATAGGAATGTACTGAAGCTGAGATAGTGTTAGGACAACCCATTCTAAAATTTTGTAGATTTGATTGTCACACTTGAGGCCATCGGGGAGGACGAGGGTGAATCGAAATCGTGTAAGTTTCGGTGATCAACCCTGTCGACTGAATCAATGGTTGGTAAAGGTATGTGACAACTCATAGTTGTTTTTTTTTTTTGTGTGTGTGTGTTAGAAGCATGCGTGTGGACCCAGTTGCGCAGATTATGTGTTGTGATTTGTTGTTGCAGTTTGGGGTCACGTTTGTGGAGTGTGTGATGTCATTTGTTACTGATGTTTGGGGTCCCATGTTATCACTTCATTTGTTGCTGTAGGGTTTAGATGTGTATGTGTTTTTGTAGGTGGTTTTCATGTTTGGGGTCCCATTTATTTATTTACTTTAGTTTTTGATATGTAGTGTGGATTTCGGTAATGTATGTTGTTTGTTTTTGGATGTTGTTGGGTTGTGTGGATAAGGTCAGTTGTGAGGTGAACTGGGTTTGTGGTATGGGTTTGTTTGAATTGAACTGTGTCTGTGTTGTGTGTAGGGGTGTAGCACGCGCCCGCGAGGGCCTCACTACAGTTCGGACTCGATTTGTGTCACGGTCCTTAATCTGAACCAAAGAGTCCAAATCCGGCAAATCGTTTTGAGAAACAGATTTTTAAAAAGAAGTGCCAAACATGGACTGCTTTGCCAGATACAGAGTCGCCACCTAAATATTTTTTAAGGGGGAATTTAGGAAACCCTAACTCATGCCTAAGGCCACGTGTCCGTCATCACCAAAGTTGCCTCGACTCGGGA